TTTTATGTTATCATGATTTAGTAGTATTCTCATTGTTGATTGTGGATTTCAGGCTACGTTCTTTTTGTTGTTTCTATTATCGTATCGTTTTTCGACATTGGATTTTTTGTTCTTCTATTTTCTTGTGGCGGTCGGGTCTCTGCGTTGCGTCATGCACCTGTACTACCCCGTTTTCTCTGCGTGGTACGTCAAGACTTAGGAGAAGAACAGGTTTCAGCTTGGAGATATTTGCAGCGCCAGAGTATTCTCAGCAGGAGCTGTCTATGCGGACAAAGACAGCAGAGAAAGAAATCGAGCCTTAGTTATTTCTTCCAGTTTGCTTTTGTAGCAATTCCTTCCGCCGATGATCATTGTATTTTATATTCTCCGAGTATTTCATTCAGCATAGTATTGTATAAGGGCATGTTTGACCCGCAATATTATGTCTCAGGATGTATTCACTTGTGATATTGTATTTTTTATTCTGCAGTTTGTCTATTATATTCTTGCTATGTGGTGATCGGGGACCCATGTGACTTGCATTGTTTTATTTCCAGCAACCTTAGCGTTATTTAGATTTTGAGAAGGACGGGGGGTCTAGCACTTATCTCTCTTCAGCTCTAAATTACGATCGCGGGCTTGTTCACGTTCCGGTTCCCGTGTATTTTGGGAAGCGGGGCGTGACAGAAATCATCTCTAATTATATTCTCAAATTCATCATCTTCTACTAATTTAGAATGAAGGCTTTTAAGAACAATAAACCTAATGACATATTTCCTGGTTTTAATTGCATTGCAGTTACATGAACGCAGACTACCGGAGAAAGATGATTGGGCAAATAGAGATTGGTAGATGTTGGCTTGAGACGTTGCTTGAACTCTGTTATATCTTTCCAAATGGTGTTTTGTGGTGGTTAGTGCAGATCTTATAATAAGCTTCAAAGATATGACCACATAACGCACATTTAGCCTTTTTAGTGAGAAGTTTACGATGTAAATATCTATGACTTCTATCTTCTCAAAAAAAAGCCCACACTTTGGATATCAGCCTTTTAAGAGCTCTAGGTGTTGGATCATCGCCATCAGATTCAGGATGAGCTCATTTTGGGAGTTGAATTTTTCTCTTCATAATAAGAGGAGGAAGCCGTTGGAATTAAATAATTAGAGAGCAATAGAAAGTATTAAGAGAGCATAAGATAGTATAATAATGCATTAATAAGAATAAGAGAGTATTAGAGAGAAGTAGAAGAGTTTTGGATGAGAAAAATATATGAAATCCCCTCTATTTATAGAGGTAGCCCCCTGCCCGAACCAAAAAACCCTCAAAATTTTGGTCGTTTTTGACCTTTTAGAGTATTTTGGTCATCTGACAAAAAATAACCACTATAGGCTATCTATTCTGCCCGAACAAGGCGGGATGGGCCGAATCAAGTCCATTGGCTATTTTCTAGTTGTTGGACCGGATCCAATTTCTATCGGGTAGGGCTTCTGAGCCGTTACCGGCTCCCTAGTTTGGTTCGGGTCCGATCCGGCTCGCTCGGGTTCTTTAGTCTGGCATTGTGGAACCCGAGCGAGGACCAAGTCGAGCTTCACCAAACTACCCGGATTGGGCCCCAGAGCTCAGCCTGACCTAATTGTTTGGGCTTTTTTTGGGTCTGGATGAGCGCGGGCCCGATCGGTTCGGGCCATACACCAGGTAGGGTTCGGGCCACAATCCTAATTGGACAGCCCTAACAATACATCTGTCATGTGCATTCAATTGAATTATTGTAATCGTTATTGCAAAGAACTATAGTTGTTTTCAAATACGACTTGTCATTTTCCGCATGCAAATTACAAAATGTGAAGAATTTCACAACTGTTAAAGGAGAGAGAGAGAGAGAGAGAGAGTCTTACCCCCTTTAGATTAAGGGACTGTTTGGTTATTTCCTAAAAAACCAAAAAATAGAAATGAAAACCAAAAAATCTCAAAAAATACAATTTTACACATTTTCATCCCTAAAACTCACCCACAACATCTAATAAAATATTATTTTTATCCAACAACTCATCCACCACATCTAATAAAATATTATTTTCATCCAACAACTCATCAATCACATCTACCACATCTAATAAAATATTATTTTTATCCACAACATCACTCAACTCATCTCATCTCATATTTAAAAATCACTCACATCATCCAATAAGATTGTGACAACTCATCTCATCTCATTAACATTTTATTTCTTTGTTTTCCTCTCAAAAAACTAGAAAAATAATTTCCTTAAGTGTGGGTCACATCATCCAATAATATAATGACAACTCATCTCATCTCATCTATTTTCTTATTTTTAAGAAATAACCAAATAAAAGAAAACAACCTAATACAAGAAATAGGTTTCTTATAATTCATTTTCTTATTTTTTTCCGCCAACCAAACAACATCAAAACAAGTTTTCTTAAAAAATCACTCACATCATCCTATAATAAGGTGACAACTCATCTCATCTCATCTCTATTTCTTTGATTTCCTTCTTTTTTTAGCCAACCAAACAATCCCAAAACCTATTTTTCTTAGAAATAAGTTTCCTTTTATTTGATTTCCCTCTTTTTTTAGATAAACAAACAGTCCCTAAGTATTGAATGTGTACACAAATATATATACAAGTAGAGAAGGGTGAGATGTGCTCTCATAACCGATGTGAGACTAAACCCACTACATACAATAATATCAACAACAACAACCAGATTAAAACTAACAGCCCAGTTGCAACAAAACATACATTTACGACAAACCCATAGTTTAGCCGGGTTTACGTGAAATTAACCCCGATAATTAGGGGTGCCAAGCAGTTCGGTTTTATCCGAACCGATCCGCATCCGAACGGATGCGGATATGGTAAGCTATTTTTAAAACCGATCAGATACGATTTCGAATACGGATCCGGTTTCATTTTTTTTACCATATACGTATTCGGATACGAATATGAGTGTAGGATTCAGTTGCGGATTCAGATACAGGTTTGGATACAGATCCAGTTTTAATTTTTTCAGATACGGATATTAGTGTAGGATTCGGTTATGGATTCAGATATGGATTCAGATACAGATATAGATATCCGTAATTCAATTAACATAAAGATTGAGATCCATTTATATATCAAAACCCGTAACCGCTAACCAACCCAAAACCCAAATATTAGGGTAAAAAAATCCTAGCTTTACCGACTCCATTCCTCAATTCCCAACTTCTCAACCTCCGCTATCACTCCCTCCCTCAACCTCTACTGTCAGCCTATCACTCCCCACTCCGACACCCGCTTCACCGAGATGCCGATTCTCGTTCTCCATCTACGACACCCGCCTCCTAAGACCCCCCCCTCCATCGTCACTCCTCCCCTCTTGCTCGACCTCTGCCGACCTCCTCCTTCAGATCTGTTATCAGACCCCTCGTCGCTCGACCTCCCCCGCCGTCTTCTCCCTCCTCCCCTGCCCCCTCTCCGATGCGCTCCTCCACGAGCAGGACCAGCACGCCTAGTTCGCCACCGCCCATCCTCGCTGATCCATCATCCTTTCTATTCTATAAGGTTGAATCGAAACTCTAGTTTTACGTACATTTGCTTTGTCAATTTGTGATTATAAGTGTCATATTCTAGTTAAATATTGTCTTGATGTGTTAGATTGAAACTCTATAGAACTAATTATGTAGCTTTATTTGTTTATGTTTGGTGTTTGTTTGAAGTAATTCTGATTATATGTGAATCTAGTTGTTTTGAAATGATGATATTACATATCTAGGTTGCTCTTTTGATGCTTTGCTTTGTTGGTTATATCAACTGCTTAAATACTTTATTGCATTTCTAAGTACAATTGATGATATTATATATATGCAATTATTTTATTATATTTTTATCATTTGATGTTGATATCAGCTGAACTCATTTGTACAAAAACCGATTCATATCCGTTTGTCAAATATCCGTTTCATATCCGTGATCGTATCCGATTTGATTCTCTAATATCCGAACCATATCCGTTTCTGATGAGTGCGGATATGATTAAAGTTTTTTTACCAAAAATAATCCGTATCCGTTTATAAAAAACGGATACGGATATGATAAGTGCCAAACCCGAATCGTATCACCCCTCCTAGTAATAATATCAGACCCTAAACCAGATTTTGAACTCCTGCTGCTACAGTAACAGCACAGCATACCCGATACGTAATTTTTTAGCCGCTGGAACGCAACAGATCGGAGAAATCCACGAGAAAACGGTTTTCGAGGAGGCGGTTGGGTCTCCTACCCGGCGGATTTTTCTTTGATCCCAATTAAATACTGCTATAATTACCCTCCATTTCTGTACGTGCACCCTTAAGCGTCCTCCTGCTTTTATTCCTTAGCGTATTTTAGCCTTGGGTCCTTGACAATCATTTTATTTGAAACTAGGCCCTCAAATCATTGAATCCGTTGCCAGGTTCCTTAGATTCTTGAATTGTTTCAATTTTTTTTGAAGTAAAAATAGGGCTAAAAACCCTATCATTTAATATATATATAACTAGTGGTGAATTGTTACAAAATTAGTTACTCAAACCATCGAAATTGTCATTCGACCTCTGCATTCTTACAGGTTTGTATTAAAGTGATTCCTCTAATCAAGAGCAGCAGCGCGACACATCGGAATCGAGAGACCGAATGGCCGTTTGAATGGTTTAAAGAGTAAATTCAAAACATTCAAAGGATGTAAAAGACTAATACGGAAAACCCTCGTATTATTCTTATTATTTTTGGAATAGAACTAATCAAATCGGGTGTGCATATACCAACACGGCAGTGAACAAATTTTTAATTTTAATTACAATTAAACGCCCCCAACAAACTTCCCCTGCTCCCCAAGCTAAACCGACCCAAACCCCCAAGTGGGTACAAGAACAACCCCTTCCACCCTACATATTTTATAACATATTCACATTATTTATCCCTTATTATTTCCCCTTTATTATATTCCATAGTTCCCATAATTAACACCAATTAAAAAAAAACCCATCAGCACGCCTATTTAGTGATCCTCCCTCTGCTCTCGTTTTCCTCTCTCTTTTTCTTCCTTTTTCTCCCCCAGAAAAAAAATCTCAGATTGAACAGAAATAAGGGGGGAAGAAGGGGAGATTTTTTTTATTCGTTTGTCTTTAGCGAAGAAGAAGGTTGAAGCCATGGTGGAAACGAGGCGGAGTTCAGTTTCTGCTTCTAATAACAAGAGGCTTTCTTCATCTACTCCTCCTTCTTCTCCCAGGACCTCGAAGCGCTCCAAGGTCCGACCTTTACCCCGTTTTCGGCATCTTTGATAGATTCTTGCATCTGGGTATCGGTCAATTTTAGGGTTTGGTTTGAAAATCTTGTTGATTTGGTTTCTTCAGGCGGCGGCTGCGGCGGTATCGAAGGAGGAATGGGATCAGAAGAAGGAGATTCTAGTTCCGGCAGAGCCGCGAAATCTTGCGGCCGATGCGGCGACGGTCGATCCTCCGAAAGATGCCGGCGATGTTGGTCCCGCAGATAAGGAGGAAGCCGGGGAGCTGCCGGAGTCTTCTGCTCAAGGTCTGATCTTGGTGGAGAGATTTATATTTTCTTGGATTTTTCTTGATGATTTTTGTTCTGTGCGACGCAGATCAGTATATAAATCAGTTGATTTTGCCGCTAAATCGACGGAAGCAGAAGCGTTCGGCAAAGGCACAGCCTGATATGGGGATTCCATGGGGCAAGCTTCTTTCGCAGTCTTCTGAGGTTAGATTTTTGGCACAAAGTATCTGAAAGAGTTTGAAATTTTTTGTGTGAGCTTCGTAATTATATGAAATGCAATCCCTTGATCAGTGTTATGTTGACTCAACTTACTTAGAACTATTATTCTGGTGTTTGTTTAGCCTCTCCCCTTTTCTTTAGGGCCTTTTGCTTAAAATAAAGAAAGATACTAGTTTGGTCCTCCTCGAAAAAGAAAGGGAGAATATTTTGATTCTCTCCTAGCAATAGGACTGTTCATATGCCTAACATAAGTTCTGGGGCATTGAACAATCGAGGTAAAACCAGAAGCTTCAGGAGAGAGAGAGAGAGAAAGTCTCTGGCATGGTTAATTGGAAATAGGCAGTTGATTCTAGGAAATAAAGTCAAAAGGAAGACAAAATACACATCCATTTGACAAGGGTTCCGCCACTTAATTGAACTATTTTGTGTAGTCTCAAGCATTCTTATTGTTTATGATTCTACATGCTAATTCAGTACATGGAAAACCCTTCTAAACTCTTGAACTTTTTGTTTTAATTAAACCTTTAGGTACCAATCATTAGCACAAACAACCATTCACATTGTAATCAAATTATTCATAATGAGTCGAAAATACTCTTGCACGGTGCTAAGGATGTCCAAAATTTGAGTGGTCTGGTAGTTAGTTTTTATCCTTTATTATTTTCATCCCTTTCCACTTTTCATCTTCCTTCATCTTTCGCATACACTAACTGATACACATAAATTGCAAGTTTTAAGAAAGTCTCTCAAAGTAAGAGATTGACAAAACATCGTAGACCCTTTCCCATTGAGCATATAAATAAGTAATATGGTGTTTTGCTTTTCGGTGCTTCTAGGTCACATTTGTGGCAAGGATTTGCCCAAAAAATGAAAAGAAAAGAAGTAAAATCTTTATTCTTAGGTCTTGGCAAGAAGCTTTGGATGTCATGGCGAGGTGGTACTGTGGTAGTCTGAGGAGACACACTTGTGTATGAGGGTTCTTAGATCCAGTTGATCAAGTTGCTATACTGCTTTTTATCACACAATGTTCATGGGGCTGTCAACCTTTTTATGTTCATAAAGTGTTGTTTTCTATGAAGTATGAACAAGAAAAATCCCATGAGAATTGCTGTAGTATGAACGAGAATGGCCATTTAGCATATTTTTTCCACTAGGATGATCCAAACACTGTCACTGTGGTACCTTTGCCTTCCTAATCATGGCCACATGCAGGTATCCGCTGTGGTCATGTTCACATGATTGATAGTAAGTCGAAAATTGCCTTGCACAGTGTGAAGAATACACAATATATGAGTTCTTGGTACTGGAGTAGCAGGAGTAGCAGCAGTAGCTTGACAAGGGTTCATCATGTTGTGAGCTGTTAGGATGGTTAATAGAAATTCATGAATTGCAATTTTTGTGTGGTTTACGTATTTTTGTTAATATGTTGCGAAAAGAACTATATGTACTACATAGCACGAGAACGTGAAAATGTGAACATGTTATCCCCTTTTGTTTGAGGAACATCAAAGAAAAAAATTTATATGTTTTTTCAACTTTGCACTCTTTTTTTTTGGTACAGTTATATGCACGTCTCCTTGTCGTCCTATTGACATGTACCATGAAGTGACCAATTCACCTTTTATTATATTTATTTATATTTACCATGCCATTGTTGTCCTTAATGTAGGTGTTGAGCAAATTTCAAGTAAAATCTAATTATATAACAATATCTCTTGTTCTTAGTGAGATTTCCATTTATTTAAATATGAATTTATGAACTTGTTCCTTATATTATTCATGAGATCATTCGGATAAAAGTTCCAGGAGGTATGTTGCATGAGTACTCCTATAGTGAAGCCACACTTGTACCCGACACATACAAGACACCACACTTCTTGGACATTCTTGGATACTTTTTGAATATATGTATACATTTACTCAGAAATGTACTCAATGATAACATATTTTAATTTAAACACCCATTATAGACCTCTTGAATGTATATTCTATGCTTCACATCCACTTCCTCAAACTCGTTTGACAGAAGTTGACAGGCCATACACAATTCAAAACTATGATATTAAGGGGTTGTTTACATTTGGGTATCTAGTTAAACACAAGGCATTTTCCAATTTATAAGTTACATAATAAAAGAAACATAAAAATATTCTATGAAGTTTAATTCTCATACCATATGAATGGGAAAACATTATTGATCTCATGTAAATTATGAATAGAAGTATATATGTATGTATGCAAGCATGCAAGGTGGGATGCACATGCATTGCACGTGGTCAAATATTTTGATTTTTTATTTCAGGTTTATGTTTTTAATATATACGTTATGATTACCATATAATATATTGCAATCAATTCTTCTAAATCCCTACTTAATGATGAAAAGAAAGATTCCTTTTGTCTTTGAGCTACATTCCAACAATTCAGATATTTGACTGATCCAGACCAATGCTTTCACAAACTAACTTGGGATTTCTATTGGAAATTTAGGGTCCAATAGAAATCATAAGTAACCAAACTCATTAACCCAAATTAATTAGCAACATCACTAGAATAAAAAGTACCTTCCAGAAAAAATTATGAGAAAAAAGAGAATAAGGGACCTTCTAGAAAAATTACGCTATTGCTTATTCTTGTCTTGACGGTGTTTAAGGGCCAATTGTGTAACCTGGATATAAAAACCAGGAACAAATATTTTATTCTATAGTGTAACTTAAAAGAAAAAAAGTATTTCAGAGGGCGTATAACTAAATTATGATATTTTAGTTATCTTTAACTATAAGAATGTTCTTGAAGATATCTGTATATCTACAAATTGGATATAACTTATTTAAAAGTTACTAATATGCTATAAGTTAGTATAGGTTATCTTTCTAATACCTAATAATTTAGTGGCTTTTAAATATTAATATCAATGTAATTTGGGTTGTGCTTTGTTTTCTTTTTACAGTTAATTGAATTTCAAAAATAGTCTATTTTAATCCGCTTGGATATTGTTAGATGTTAAAAGATCGCCACTTCTTCCTTCCATATATGTTAAGTAACCACACTCAGTAACCAAAACTAAGTTTCTTTCCAAATGCTGATTATATAATGCCCATGGTTTACATAGGACAAAATTAAAAGATGAAAAACAAGTTATTTCAAAGTAGTCACCACATCCCTACAACATAAATATAAGTAATAATTGAATAGAAAAAGATTGAACACAGAAAGAGATCAAGACTGGACATTTGGGAGTGAACAATTACTGAATCATTGCAAATTCTAAGAAAATTTCTATGAGAAAACGGAGTGAAGCTTTATTTATGTCCGAGTTTGCTAACCTAATGGTTGAGTCCTGTACTCTTGTATCAAGTAGCGGTGGAAAATTTAGAGAATACAAAGATAAAGTAATTAGTTGAATAGTACTCATGGTTCCGACAAGTTGACCCACTAATCGACCACTAACATGGGCTCACACTTGACTGGCTTAATCTTCGTTTTGTAACAGTATGGACTTTTGGTGCTCTAAATCAAATAGAGTATTAATAATTGCCACGAAGATTTCACTGTGAAAAGAAACAAATACACGAAGATGAATTATTTAATTTATTAATTATTACTATTGATTATCATGATAATATTAAACTTTAAATATTTAAAACGACTTGTTGAGTGAGGCGTGTGCATTTAAACTATTATTTAGAATAGGTCCAAATCAACGTTGAAAATAACGATAACGTATAACGTAATGCATACCTCTCGTTAAGGGTTATTAAAAAAAACAGAAAAGCATAACGCATAATGTAGGTTATATTAATTATTAGTTATTTAAATATTTTATAAATACAAACAATTTATAATGACTTTAATTATTAAAATCATCAAAATTTTCAAACATAACATCATAATTGTCAAATGTAGAATATAATATCACAATTTCTTAACAAGAGTTAGTCATACATGACTAATAACCATTCCAAAAAGCATCATCAAATGATCAAATACGTTTAGCTTAAAGCAATCAAACAAGTCTTAACAAAATTGTAGTCGGGATTCGGGAGTCACAATTGTAGCTGATCCTCGCTGTGGACGTGAAAGGAGATGGGCTGGAGACGTGAAGGGGAGAGGGGAGGACCATTCGGCAGGTGGAAGAGGAGAGTAGGGTTGGTTGAAGAGAGTGAGCTCAGATGGAGAACCAGGAGGCGGCGGCGGTGGAAGATGGACATGAAAGCCGGGGATGAATTAGGAGGTGGCGGCGGCAAAAGATGGGGTTCGATGGAGAGCCAGAGAAGACAGGCACAATTGCGGCTGTGAAGAGGAGGAAGAGCGCAGTTGCATGAATAGGCGCTTGGGTTATCATGATAATGGGCTTGGCTGGTTATTGTTTTGGGTTTAGGGTCACTGAGATTATATTTTGGATGGTTGTGATTTGGCCACGCGTCCAAAACACAAAGACTATTTAACCCAACATAACGTGGGTTATATAATGCATGACTATAATGCACAAAAAACGCGTTTTTTTTTGTGTTAAATCGACTGTTAAGTGCAGTCTGCATTTTATGCCTGTGTTACATAGCATTTTGGCCACGTTACGTGCTAAAACTGGTTATAACTTATAACACCTGAAAGATTTTTTTTCCCAATATTGTTCCTAACTAAAAAGCTATTATTTTGGCGAACAATGATAAGGAATTTTGGTGCTCTAGTAATAATAAGTTTAGAGAACAAACTACAGAGACAAGGTAATCAAACTCTATAGATAACTTTTATAAAACAATTTAATCAAATTTATTAAATTGAAAGATAAAAACCAACTCCTAATTAAATTTGGATTGTCTAATTTATTTATCTTAATGTTTGGTTAATTAGGATAAAATAGCAAATTAATTTCCAAAAGGGTTAAGTGTAGTATTGACCATGGAAAGATTTACTTGAATTCACTCTTTTAAAGAGAGTATGATGCACACATTGCGCGCGCGTACAAACACTGTTGTTTTGTGTGTGTGTGTGTAAATATGGGTGAGCGTTGTGTGTGTTGTGTTTGTGTATGCATATATGTGTGTGCCATGTTTTTTTGTGTTTGTGTGTATAAATATGGGTGTGCCTTATCAATATGGGTGTGCCTTGTGTGTGTATTGGGTTTTTTTTTTGGTGTGTGTGGGGGGGGGGGCGATGTACGCGGCATAAGCATGCGTGCGTGTCTAAGTAGCAGTATCACCGTACCCTACATTTTGCAAATGTGCTGTCTCATACTTGTAACCATGCACATAGTTAAGGAGCAAACTGCAAGTTGAAGTTAGAATCAACATCAATACAAATGTACTGATGGTCCTTGGCTTTATTCCTTGGACTTTTTATTAATGAGTTACCTTTTTTGATCTACCATCGTTTCTCTTCTAAACTCCTATACTCCTAGGTAGGAGTTTTTAGGAAGAAATCAAACGAAGGTAGATTCCCCTACCTGATTCAATGTGATCCTTCGTTAGTTGTGGCTTCTTTGCCAGGATTTGTTTTTTTTTATTGCCAACTGTGGTTGGTTGTAGCTTGACATCCTATCACAAAATTGGATTAATCTTGCTATGTTGTCTGTCTGTTTAGAGTTCCCTCTTTACCCTTGCATTTGGATGGATAAAGTTCATATGAAGGTGATATTGAAATTGGTGATATGCTTGTGAATGCATTTCTTTTTTTGTAATCAAATTAGCATATTCATCTTCAGCTACACTTTTTGTGGTGAAATTCTAGAGAATTTCTCCTTTGTGAACGTATCTATTGCGTGATCAGTGAGGCAGTTTCCACCTCCTACTTACTGGTCTTCTATGTTTAATGGCTCTTGTGTAGTGGTACCTTCTTGGGTTTGGCACCAGTTTAGAAGATTAGAATAATTATAGATTTTCTCAGTTTCTCTAGGAATGGGACAATGCTAAATAAAAGTACAGTAGAAGTATCTTCAATTTCAACACAGTATCTTTCACTGTTTGCCTATGTAGATAAGGTAAATTTTTTCTATGTCTGCTTGATTTCTCCTTAAATATGGTCATTTTATATATGTGGAAAGTGTCTGCCTTAGACATGCCACGATCTGAACGTAATTAGAAGAAGATTCTAGGTTCCTCATGGTTTACATATTTTAAAACAAGATGTGCTTTTCCCCTCTCTTTCCTTCAATGACCGCAGACTGTAGAATTTTCTATTTGCATATTGATTCTCTAAACCTATTCTGTATAGAATCCCCATCTTCCTATACGCGGTCCACAATTCACTGTTGGTTGTAGCCGAAACTGCGATTTGCGACTTAAGGATCCGACTATCAGCACAATTCTTTGCAAACTGAAGCTTGAAGAGGTACACTTACTGATCATTTTGTTTCAAGTTGAAGTGCTACTTATTGTCATTATACATGTATTTTGTTCATTAAATTTGTCCTCTTGCTGTATTTTTCTTAGCAAGCTGGCACATCAACTGCTTCACTTGAAATTTTGGGAAAAGGAGTGGTACAAGTTAATGGAAAGATCATGGAGAGAAATTCCCATATCAATCTCACAGCGGGGGATGAGGTTGTTTTTAGTTCATCAGGGAAGCATGCTTATGTATCCTTCTGGAAGTTGCTAAATTGCATCAATTTTTTCACATTGTTCCTCTTTTGTGGAAGATGTTTCCTTAATATATTCACAGATTTTTCAACAACTTGCCAATACAACTGCCCATGTTTTGCCTTCTTGCCATAGCATTGCAGAAGCAGAGGATGAATCTGCTAAAGAAATTACTTCTGACACTGGATCGGGGGACCAATCAGCTGATGATGAAGCATCATTATTGGCGTCCTTTTCAAATCTTAGCAAAGACGTGCCACTTCTTACACCTCAGCCACCCAACGGTGAGAATTATCAGCAGGGATTTGAAAAGCTTACTTGTTCAGAACCACAGTCGTGACATTAAGAAATGTTAAATGTATCATGACAAACTGCTTTTCGTTTATGATGATATCCTGCTCTTGTTTTATTTCTGATTCTGCTGTAGACTAATTCTTTTACTTTAATACTTTCAATCTTGGTTCTTATCTAGCAACATTAATCATTAACCTTACTGTCACTGCTTATGGGTAGGGTCATCCGCTCCTGAATTGGATTTGAGTAGGAGTGTCTATAAACTGTTTGAAGATCCCAGAGACGCTCTCAAGGAAATTGCTTCTACATCAATTCTGCCTTCCGCGAAGTGTCAAGCTTTTAAGGACAACTTGAAGAAAGGGATTCTTAATGCTAGTGATTTAGAAGTTTCCTTTGAATCTTTTCCCTATTATTTAAGGTAAACTCAAAGTTCTATCCTTTGATTATGTAAATATATCAAATTCTTTTCAAACTATTATGTTGTTTATTCATGGTTTCTAAAGTGCAAGGAAAGTCATAATACTTATAATCTTATTCACAGAAACACTGTGAATTTGCTTTGTCCTGTATAACTATCATGAATTGTGTTTTTAGATAAATTCTATGGATCTAAGGCAATAATGGCAAGATAAGAATCTAGTGTTTTAGCTGTTTGTTAGGCTTAATTACTAAAACTTACTGTAGACTGTTAACTGTTCCAGGAAACTAGCTACTAATGTACCATTAATTAGTAAATTCTTTTCTTCATAATTTTAACTTTACATAAATTATCAAAAGGGCATTCTTAATATTTTATCAACAAAGTAATGTGACACATAAGAAATGGGTGGTTGATGGAAGACATTTTTTTTCTGTTGCTGGTGGAAGTTCAAATTCCGAATATGTGTCTGCTTTAAGGAGGTTCCTTCGTGTCTTACATATGTAGATTTGTTGTTTCCATAGATATCTAAAGCTTTGAAGTTCTTAATAGGCCAAATCGTTAAGGACCACTGTCAATAGTTTTTTATTTAGAAAGCAGTCAACTTATAATTGGGTTTAGCTTCAATCAACCACTTCAGGGCAATTTCTATTCAAATTTTATCTTGACTATTGAAAATACCCTCCTCCCTTCTCCCTTCTCTCTCCTCACCCACCCTTACTACTCCCACCCCTTCTTTGTGCTCCTCCCTTCTCTCTTCTCATCCACCCAACCTCTGCAGTCCGTCC